CCTAACCCCTAAACACCGGGTTGTGTCGCCGAGCCCTCAATCGCTTAACACCCAATAGAAACGACCACAGAGCCCTGACACGCAACTTAAGCCAAACCATACCCTAAACATCCAAGTGCCCCTTTGGTGTATACTTGGGCCCAAAGTATACTTGACCCAAAGGTTCCGAAAAGGAACTACATGAAGGCCAAAGCGTTTACTAAATGTGCACATGGACCCTTAGGGTAGCAAAGAAACGAGAAAAGACATTGAAAACAACATAACGGTACAGTCTCCACAAAACCTCAGAAAGCTAGGGTGCTTTACGTAAGTGTTTTTGCAATAGGGGTTCCATTAATTGGAGTCCCTATGGGCCGGCTTTTACTCCCGCTCGAACCTTGCGAAATCCATGTTGTCGGAGCTGTTAAAATCAAGAAGCGTGGAAGGCCCAGGAAGCCCGAAACTTTTCAAAGCCCGCCCGACAGCCCTACTTAAAGGTTCATAGGGAGTTCGAAACAAGGGTTACAAAGGGTATAGATAAGGTAGCTATACTTACAGTTAGTTATAAACCCAGTTAAGTACTTATAACTGTACTTACTAAGTCCCAAGCACCTCCAAGTATCTCTAGAGCTTAGGGCGTAAACACTACCTGAAGCCGTAGCACAAGAAAAACTTTAAACCCTAAGCCCTAAACCGCGTTCAGGGACCACTCTGAAATTGGACAAAAGCGTCCTCGGCCCGAACACCTAAACCTGGTTCAACCTGACCCAAAACACTAAACTTAAAACCCTAAACCCTAAACCCCAAACCCTAAATCCTAAAATCCTCTAAACCCTAAACTTAAAACCCTGGCCCTAAACCCTAAACTTAAAACCTTAAGCCCTAAATCTGAAATCCCAAACTTTCAACCCTGCTTACAGGCACCTACAGCACCAGAGCTCACAGAGAGTGCCCCGGAGGTCCATTTCCTGGCGTTGAATGTAGTTGGGTTTAGGGTTCAGGGTTTAGGGTTGGCCTTGAATGTAATTGAGTTGCTCTAGACCGGGGGGGGGGCTATCTAGGGCGTTCAAAACGTCGCAAGGGCACTCTCAGTTCTGTGGCCTTGGCAGGGGTTTAGGGGATTTCAATTGGGTTCTGTCAGGATTTAGGGTTTAGGGTTCAGGGTTTGGGGTTTAGGGTTCAGGGTTTAGGGTTCAGGGTTTTAGAATTCAGGGTTTAGGGTGTGGATTGGGGCTGTGGGCCTGTGGGTTGCAGTGTTTACGTTAAAGGCCTTACGGCCTTCCCGGCGCCACCGAGGAAGAGGAGCCTCTAAAGGAGTCATTGTAGCCTTAAAGGAACCCCTACCCTAAGGCCCTAAGGACTCAGATTTTAGGGCTTTTGGGCCCAAAGACCATACTAAAAAAAGGCTTTATGGCTATTTTGAGCCATAGGGTTAGGGGTTTAAGGTGGTGAGGTTTTTCACTATCGGCAGCCACACAGAAAATGCAGCAGACACACCGAACACGGTTCAGGGTTTAGGGTGAGGGTTTCCTTAGCCAACAGAATAGAGGGTTCTATCAGGGTTTCCAGAAGGCTTACTATAGAAGTTCTAGACTCTCCTAGTACAGGGGCCGCAGCAAAGATAATAGAGGGTTATAGTTATGATTGTTGATTGCGTTTGAGGCTTGTGATCCGCATTTTACAGCGGTTCCTAGCAAACAGAAGAGGACTGTCGGACGCCACTAGACCCATACTACAGTCTAGGTTCCTCCCTAGTTCCGTTTTGTGGTCTTCTTAATCCTAGACTTTGCCCTACCGGTAGGCGCCATAGTAGTTCCTTTTTGGGATTACCTTATAGGATCCTAAAGATAAACCACAAAAAGGATCTACTATGGAGCCTATGGGTATGCCCTAGCTTGAGACTCGGGTTCGCCCTAAACCCTAAAACCTAAAACCCTAAACACTAAGCCCCAAGACTCTACCTGGTGTTCGGCGTGGGCCCTTTTTTTTGGGATGCCCAAATCTGTCCTTGAAATTAGACCTAGACCCATTTCTTTGTGACAATCAGAAGCGATCAACTGATTCAGACCTCGAATTCACACACCACACAGTTTAGGAAGATTCGGACCTGTGGCTGATGTTCGGATTAGATTCGGACCCCGGCTTTCTGAATAAGTCTGCGCTGGAAGCTTCACAGAATGAAAGTGAGCTACGATAACACGCCCAAAGCAAAGTCGAAGCAAACTCCATCCCTCCTTTCAGCGGCTCAGAGCTTCGAGCGACTGGTTGGCCACGCACAGGCAAACACCAGGGCATCAGCTCATGGGTTTAACTATTGGTTTGGGAATCTTTAGATACCGGGCCCTAGTCAACATTTATTTGTGGGAATATAAGGAAACCGTTGCACTACGCAGTCGTTGTAAATACGAAACATTGCTGCTGATGCCTGCCGCCCTGCGTGCTGCTGGCCGTTGCTGAATTTGCAGGCAGGAACCAGGGCTTTGGGGCAAAACTCTAGTGATGGCTACAGTCATATGAATCTAACACAGCAAGCTTCACTATTTCAACCATGTATTTCCACAGACTACAAGCCCAGCTTCTCGAACTCCAAATGATAGCGGATTAGCATTCTTTGAAGAGTTCGATGGCCGCACGTTCTGGCGGCCACCCGCCTGGAAATTCTACTACACACTCCGATAAAGTCTTCCGATAGATCGGTCAAGTAGGCTGCCGGAGAAATTACTGCAGGTGCGCCAGTTCGAAGAATCGTTTCAATTCGAAGCCCAACATGTCGGAACATATGAAGAGCAGGTTCCAAATGGAACAGAAATTTGGCGAGCTTGCTAAACTCTCGCGCCAGGAATGTGTAGCTCTGACAAAACAACTGCACCGAATCAGCAGCTGCTTGCGCCAAGAGCCCATTCTTGTGGATGATCTGGAAGAAACGTAGAATGCTGCAGCATGCATCTTCCATTGCTCTGAAGATATGCCCCTTCTCTGGGTCACTCAAATAGGTGACCCCTGAACGCCCTGTCCCGTCCGGCTTCACAGCCCCCTGTCGCAGCACCAACAAAAGCCACCGTGCCAGCATCAGAGAATCTGCAGCTTTCCAGCCTTGGTTCGGCAAGATCCAATAAGAAAGCACAGCCAACATCGACGGACCATGTATGTATGTATGTATGTATGTATGTATGTAAGTATGTATGTATGTATGTATGTATGTATCTATGTATCTATGTATATTACATCGGAAAAAAGAATTATAACCACATTAAGCAATCATAGGCATTGCAAGGTTCCGCCCCACGGGTAGCTTGTCCGGCGAGGCCAGTGGAAACCTTCTTTGGAAAAAAGCTTCAGATGTGGTGTTTGCCTGATCTCATGTTTGCAGCACCATACAAAATCGCTGTGCGAAAGCTCCAACAGCGAAGCCATGCTCTGAGCACTGCCATTAAAGATGTCCCAGTCGCCCAATGCCACCACACATGAGGCAATGAAATGCCGGGCCACGCCCAGCTTCACCAAATGCATGCAGTCCGATCTGAATACCTTTTCCGGCTCCTGCAAGCTGAAAGGTATGGGAAGTACGCACGATGGATTTCGATCCGTCCATGGCCGTTCTTGGCAAATTGTTCCATGCCAACTTGCCGAACTTCGCATATCTTCCCACATGTGGCCAGGTGTGCCGGCCATGCACAAGTGGCAAACTCCTTTGTTTCCAATGATTCGCAAGAAGCTTCTAGTGAAATTCCCGATTTTGTTGAGCGCTGGAGCGTCTCCCTTAACACCTATCAAAATGGGGAACCAGGTCTCCCCATTCCGATCTGTGATTCCTGAAGTGAACAGCTTCGCCAAATCTTGCACAGGAGCACCGAATGTATCGTACCAGAAATGCTTTTGCTTCTTTTTGTATGCTCCATGAGGAAGAACATACAGCAACAGCCGAGAAGTTAGCGACGACCCACGTCCAGTGTGGTCCGATGCTTCCCAGAAAGTTTGGCTGTTCCAGCCACGAGCTTTCGCAAGTTTCTCACAAGCAGAAAACGTCTTTAGACCCCACAATGTCTCAAGGGCCACGACCTGTATTGGGGCCTTCCGCAACCCACGTCCTTCGTCAGCATAGATACAAATGGGGAAACATCGATGCAGTCGATTTCCATGAACCTGGAATACCTGATGGTCCGCATCCTCGTACCTGTAGCCTTCCCAGAAGCTTTGCAGGAAGGCATCCAAAGCGAAATGGTTTCGATCAAAGCCACCAAACAGAATATGAGGCTTTTTGCAAAGGTAGAACTCCAGGATTCTGGAAGGCAGGCACATTGGAGCAAACAGAATACCCTTGTTAAAAAGGTATATATCGATGGGAAGGGCCATACCCCACTCCCTGATGATTCGGTGTAGTCCAGACTCAGCATGCGGCAGGGACGGCACAGACAGCTCCCGGATCCCTCGCAAGAGCAGCGGCTGCTCCTCTTCTATAGCTTTGGCAAAACGTACCACGTTGGCTGCAGGATCCTTATCTTGTGCATGGAGGTTTGCAGTTTGCGCTTATTGAGGCCTTCTCGAAAACTGCACCCGAAACTTTTGGACAAGCTGCTCCCATCGCCAAAGCTTTCACGAGCTTCTGGGCCGTTGGCCCCGGCGTCTGTCCTGCGCAGGGTATGATACATGCTACGGCGCTACCACCGTTTGTGCAACTCATCCTTGCCAGGGCCATGCGAAAGAGCTGCACGCACCGCTTAAGCTATCAATTGCTTTGCCCAAAGTCCCAGCATAGCTCTTGCCGGGTTCTTCCCCGTGACTCTTGCCGAGTCGTACACATGACATCAAGAAGTGCACTGGCTAGCTCAGCATTTCAGCTCTATGCTAGCACTCGCACATCAAAAGGGGCTCTTAAAGGTCCCGTGAACAAACTTTCCAAAAGTCATGGCCCTCGGAGCTGGTGATGCAAGCAGCTGAATATGAAGTCGATTGAGTGTCAAAGAAACAGTAAGCCACTTTGTGTATCGGGGCTACCGAACAACTATAGCCCGATAGTACAGAAGCACACTAGGCCTGCGCTTGCTTACCAGTCTTGCGCTTCGTGGGCGCGGGTGGGGCTTTTGGTTCAGCCTTCGCCTTTGCCGGCTGCGCTTTGCGCTTCGGCGCATGCACCTTTGCACGCCCCTCCAAGCTCACCGACTCCAGAGCCCTCGGATTCGTTAATCACATGTATATATGTCGTTAGGCTGCATGTAGATCAATGTTGTCTCCTACACGAAGCCTCAGAAAATTAAAACTGCACAAGATTCGCTCGTTTTGCCACCTTGAACTGCGCCCTGAGGACATCGAGCCTTATCTGTTTTTGTCTAAGTCGACCTAGGAAAAGCACAGCAAACTGAACCAGAGTGACTGAAGACGTGTCGCTGCTACAGCTACTCACTAATCATGCAGCAGGGTTTGCCAAGCGACGACTTGGATGTGAAGCCGTCAACTGCTCCGTCCAAGTAAGCGGTATCGATCGCATCGTGGCAATCATCGAAGGTGTTGATGATTTTCTGGATTTGCTCAATCATCCTCGGTGGGATCAAGTTTGTTTGGGTTTATGTGTGTTGCTTTGGCTTGGGGCGACAAGTTAAATCTAGGGATTTGCAGGACCTCCACGACAAGGATGTATAGTATATGTACTTCGGCTACATTTGAGGTCGATGTTCATTTCCAGCTGTTGCCTGCGCTTGGCTCCGGTTTCGGCAGGGCTGAGCCTACTTGGGTTTGGGCTACTTCAGTAGGGCTAGATCAAATTCCCCCTAGCATCATGACGGTACCACCGAAAGACCACATGGCCCGACGTCCTCAATCAGACCCTTCAATGATGTGGCTGGAGTCCTATCGAACCTACCCAGTACATCAAGCATAACACCTCAACCCCGAGGGCTCAGAACAGTTAGCTAGTCAGTTAGTCATAGTATTCTCGTTGCGCCCAGAGAATATGCTTGAGTTCATATACAAGAGCATATAACAGGCTTTATAAAACCCTGACCTCAAACACGGTAGATGAAGAAGGCCCACTAGATTTAAGGCGATGTGCTTGCAGATCGTTTTGCTCCGGTCCGCCACAGGGACGACTTCGAGGCGACCCAAAACTTCGGCCATCTTGAGGGATCTGGTCTGAACAGCCTTAAGGTAAAGGTGGGCAACATCTTGAGGCTTCTTACCTTCGAGTGTAGGCAAGCCAAGGTCATCTTCCGGAGGTCCAGATGTTCCTTAGCATACGTATGCCGACAATGTAGTACATGGGCACATGAGCTTCAAATCCTCCAAAACACATCCCGATGCTGTGAAGAGTCCAGAAGCCGAAGTACCACTCCCACTCCCGTTGTTTAGATCGAAGTTGGCTAGAGAAGAGAAGTCGACGTCCTTGCCCAGAACGACTTCGTCTCCATCCTGTTCGACCTCCTGTTGGTAGGAGATTTCCTCCGACTGCCGGAGGAGTTGGCTTTGGGTCATGGAGGCCGAGCATCGCGTTTCAAGCCAATATTTGAAAGGCTTTTTGGGATTGTAAAAGTCCGCCTCGGATGATATGCTCGGAATATATGCAGGTGAGAAACGATTGCGAATCATGGGCTCATGCTGGGACTCTTGAATTGGTGTGCAGCTTTGTGACACGTCGGAAGGAGTCAGGATGCGCATTGCCAAAGGCGACTACCTCCTGGATTCGCTCCCTGAGCTAGGGCGATGACTTTGGATAGTGCATGCTGAAAAACCAACACAGGTCCAATACATACGTAGTGGATTGTTCTAGATAGCGACTGAGACTCTCCGGAACACCGTTGTCTTGCATCTCCTTGACTGTATAAAAGTCTCCCGTGATGTCCATGGAGATTTTCTTCTCGCGTTCACTCAAGATTGTCACTTGCTTGAGGAAGTCCTCCTCACACAATGCATGCATCAGCTATCACAGTGTATCAGCATGGGTTTTGCTAGCTAGGATCGATGCACTCCTTGTTGAAGCGGGCTTTAATAAGGAGTGTGAGGAGCTTCTCCCTCTCCGCCCCTCCATTGACATACTTCTCCCGAACCTCTTTGGGGACTAGTAGACGTCCGTTGGCTTTGGGAGTGCACATTCTGCGGAGGCGCTGTCTGGCTGCCTCATGGCCGACATGATTGCCATCTTCATCCTCGCAAGCTGCACACTCCTCCGTCTCAGCTGGAGGCGGGACGTTGTTTGCGTTTGAGGCGGCCCTTGCAACCTCACGGTCAAACTGTTCCTGAGGGTTGTGCTCAGCATACTTCTGTGCCAAAGGCATCAGCTTCGCGATCATAGCTTTGAGTCGGGCAATCTCAGCAGCATTGGGATCAGCTTCACTCGGGGAGGGAGCCTTATCTGGAGCCTCCGGGACCAACTCTGGGTTTTCGGGAACCTCAGGGCCCTGTTGGGGGGCCGGCTTTCCTACCACGGCCTCTAGGATCTCGGGAGCAGCTGAAACCTGGAGCGCCTGCTCCGCCTCTGCAGATTCAAGGGCTTTCCCCGGACCCTTCACACCCGCCGTGCACGAGGTTGCGCTGACAGCCACTGGCGGCGGTTGCACCTGGGATCAGAAGTCTTGGGTACGAGTCAGGAGGTGAACATCAGGGATACAGGTTTGTGTTTGTGGGGCAATACCCAAGTTACCAAACAGCACACTTCGCCAGGGCCGAGGGTCGTGATTGGCACGGTTTGTAGCTTTGTAGCAGGGGCCTTTCATGTTTTGGGGTATGTGTGTGCATGCACGTGTCTGTCTGTAACCCTTTATAATATATGAATATATATATATATAAGTATGTATACCAAGACCATACAGACATGCACATACTTATATGTATCTGTATAGCATGCATGCATGTGTGTGTGTGTGTTTGAATGAATGAATGAATGAATGAATGAATGAATGAATGAATGAATGGATGGATGGATGGATGGTGGTTGGGCGGTTCGGTGGTTGGGTTTTTGGGCGGATGGGTGGATGAGTGAGTGGGGTGAGTGGGGATACACAGCTATACATAAATATAGATGGCCGGTCTCCAGGTATGCAGGACTCAGGATCAAGGTTCATTCGAGCTACGACAGCATCCTCGTCGTACGGGTCTATCGTGGTGGGGCATTGCGGCGAGAACTCCATGGCCAGTGTGTCCCCAACCCTAATTGGGCTGACCTGCGTCTCGGCTTCTGCCAATGCCTCCGCTAAAGACTTCGTGGCGGTTTTCGATGGAGTCTTCGCAAGGGTCTTCGATGGAGTCTTTGCGGGGGTCTTCGACGGAGTCGCGACAGGGCTCTTTGCTGGAGAGGCAAACAGATGCTTTGGTTTCGCAGGGGAAACCAACATCATAGCAACATCGTACCCATCATCTAGCACAGCCAGGGTCTTCTCAGCAGTGTCTGGGGCAGGGCTGCCGAGTTGATCTTTCAAGGCTGTGAAGAGCACTTCGTCGTTCTGTAAGAGGGTCTCCGAGACTTGGGTCTCAGTCATCTTCGAAGTCTCAACCGTGTCCCCCGTCACCCCCGTCTCGCTATCGTCCGCTTTGCGCCTCTTCACCACAGGCTTGGGGGAAGGCGTGGCTCCGGCCTCGCGCTTCGCGATCTCCAACTGTGCCTCGACAGCCTCTTGCAATGGGCTGAAAAGATATAGTCGGGCATTTGGAATGGTTTACTACAGTGCCGAGTCGAGCATCGACAAGACACAGAACAACGAACCATTGAGCCCCCGAACTAACTATTCACACTCAGCAAACAAACCCACACCTCAATCTCAGCTTGGGCCAGCTCCTCTTTCACCTGCTGCAGCTCCACCAAGGTAAGCGCTTCCTCGACGGTTGCAGAGCTGAAGGCCCTCGAGACAAGGTGTTTCGGCTTCTGTGGCTTGGGGGTGGCCTCCGACATTGTCTTAGCCGGAAGAGCTCAGGAAGCACAGATCAGAGAACAGATAAACACTTGTTTGATCCAGAAGCCACAACAAAAGCCACGAAAGTGTAGCAGCAGACTCGCTCGCAAGCAACATGTTGGCTTGCTGCCCGAACGTGCACAGCCAGCTGCGAAGACGGTATCGTTTTGCATTGGTGGGATTATAATGAATCCCTACGATTGGAGCACAGCAGTAATTTCGGGGGCCTCCTGCAGGTACATCCACGACCCTACGTACCAGTAGGATATATGAGCCCAATGCATATATATATATAGTTTAGGGATAGGGGTTTAGGGTTATATAGGGCTATAGGGTTTATATAGGGTTTAGGGCCAGGGATATATATATATATATATACACAACCCAAAGGCAAATCTTGTCAGGAAGCTTCCAGCAGGCCCCCAGTCAAAGAGTGTCGCCACTGCAATTAAGGGACTCCGTTGCTAGCATTCCATCCATCTCAATCAATAGTTTTGCTGGGACGGCCATCATTTCCGGTTCTACACGTTGTGTTCTAGCCCAGGTAAGGAAGTTCAGGGATATATAGGATGTTAGGATACATATATATATATACACACAGGAAGATAGCTGGATTGGGTTGTATAGGCCAGAGACAACTTGATTCAAGCACACAGTTATCTGCCGTTGAAACACAACTAAATTGAGATGGAACAGAGGCAACGGAAAACGAGGTATAGATGGCCGGACTCTTGCTGTCGAAAGCACATCTACAAAGTTCATACTGAATTAGAAGGTCGACGGTCTCCCGGCTCCGAAGTCACGCTGCTACGCCTTGGTACTCCTAGCAAAAATCACGCGCAGAAAGCCCTGCAATAAAGCCTTGCAAAACCTCACGTAGATACACCGATTTGCCGGGGCGGAGGGTGGCGTGGGGTGGGGTGGGGAGGGGTGGGGGCCTTGAGTTTGTGGGTCCCGGAAAGAGGGTGTTTCGGGACCCACAAACTCCCCCCCTACTTCCTGCCCTGGACCCACAAACTCCCCCCCTACTTCCTGCCCTGGACTTGCTGGCCTCCTCCCCTGACTCGGCTGATGCTGATGATGCTCGCCCTGGCCGCCTTGAGTTTGTGGGTCCCGGAAAGGGGGTGTTTGGGGACCCACAAACT